AAACCTAAAGCACTGTCTGGAAAAAAGTGAACAAGTGATAAACAAATCTCTGGTTGTGCTAATCAATACAAAAGAGATTCCAATTCTTAGAAATCTCTCTAAAAGTGGATCCAGAAATTTTAAATAATTTAAAGTAGTAGGTGTAGTAAATAACTTAGTAAAAAAAACTTGAAAATACTGAATTAAAGGAAAAATTAAAAAGAAAAATATATATATTACCAAAATCGGTTAAACAGGAAGAAATAAAACAAAAAACTCCAAAAGAATTATGCAATATAAGGTTCTACACTCAGAAAGTTCACAAATGAATCTTTTGAAAATCTTTTAAAGAGATAATTTCCACTGTTTATAATTCTTTAGAACAACCCAAAAGGTAGAAAGCAATGTAGCTGAATCTGCAAAGGACTCAAATTCCTGGTGTCCAAATCTGATACAGGAAGTAGAAACAAAAGGAAAAGCAATCCCATGTTACAAAAGAAAAGTACTTTTTTGCCAAAAAAAGCATGAGCTGAATCTAACAGTGTATTTTAAAAGTTCTTATGGGCTGTTTCCAATACTAATGTAAAATATTCATTGATATGCAACTTAACTATTTGAGCATATTAATAAGTAGCTAAAATGATCATTTCAATAATTTTTAAAATCACATGATGACATTGATTGTCCCTAACCTTTCTCTCTCTCTCTCTCTCTCTCTCTCTCTCACCATACATGTCACAAAGAATATCTATTTTAGACCAATAACATACTTGGTTGTTCAAACTCTACAGGCAATTCCAGGAACATTGTAAAACGGGAAGTCCAATTTATTAACACAATTATGTAATATAGGATATCCCAAAGTTTAAGTTTTAATAATTTTAGCAGTATAAATGCCATAAGCATACAAAAAGCATTATTTTAAAGTTTAAATTTCTTTTACCTTCACTTTCTTTGTGAATTTTGAAGAATACATCTTTAATGGAAAATGATGAGGGGGAAACCAAACAGAAGAGTAGCTAGCCAAAATAAACAGATCTACAGAAAAATACTGACAATTAATTATATCTCTGAAAATTAACAAAGACCAACCAAATGAGAACGGGCAAAAGCTATTTAGTCAGCGTTTACTATAGCAAAGGAGTCACTGTCACTTACATTTTGGCAGCGACTCAAAGGCTGGCAGAGGAACGGGAAAGCTCTACAGTGGAAAAAACGCAAAGCTTCTGGTCGACTCTCATTGGAGGCCGTCGGCATGGGGAAGATGGGGACAAAAATGAGGGAAGCTGTCAGTTATTGATCAAGTCCTGGTCATTTGGGGCCTACTGTTACAGAAGTTATTTTTTAGCTTCCTGGATTGTTGCTAGAATAGCAATCTGGTTCCCTGGGCTGTTTATTGTAGATAAGGGGTTGATGTCGTCGTCGTCGTCCCCCCCTCTCCCTCCCCCCCGCAGGTTGCAGCAATGGCATGTCAGAGTCCTGTTTCTATATAGGGACTGGCCATTGTCCTTTTGTATATTCAGTATCTCATAGGTATAACTTGGTGCCTTATTCTGTCATGAGCTGCAGACATAATATTTAGGCATGGTTCCCTGAGATATGAGAATTACTTTAAAGGATTCCTCCAGAGTAAAAATATTGAGAAAGGCTGCCTCTGATTCTTCCTCTGACGAATGAGGATAATGATACCTATTTCGGGGATTATCATGAGGACCGAAGGGTAGGCCTTTGAAAAAAAAAAAAAAAAAGTCCCGTCAGGCAACAGACTTTCTGAGACGAGACCTTCAGCCAGTCCCACGTTGGACTTCCAAGGCTAGGGCAGCCATAAGCCGCCCCTCAAGATGACGCAGGGCTGGGGACAGATCAGGTCCGGTGGGAAGCCGCCGGGGCGACTGCTGGCCCGGCAACCATGTGGAAAAGGGTGCATTCACTGACAGCCCGCTGCTCCACCGGGGCAGCCACGGGACTCGTCTCCTGGAGAGTCCGCCGCGCCACGCCTGCTGCCACGCCGGCTTCCATCGTGGCCGGAAGCGCCTCACGGCCGACCGGAAGCACCTCATCGCAGAGGCTCGCGGGAGTTGTGGTTCCGCCCAAGGCCAGGGTTACCCACGCAGTGTTGGGAGGTCTCCGAGTGTGATCTGTGCGCTTCTGGACCACAGGCTGGTCTTGGACAGCCAGCACTTGAGACCTGGTCAGTTCTGAGGCCCCCGCTGCGCCTCGGATTGACAGTTCCCTCCACGCCAGGCTGTAGAGAGGGCACGTGTAGCGGATTCCTTGCTGCAGAGCCGGGTGGCTGCTGGGAGGGGTGCTCCACGGCTGGTGGGCGGCTCCGTCTGACGTCTTCTGCAGAGGGTCGGGGTTCCTGTCTGGTTTGGGGTGGCGGGGGCGCGGGCAGGCAAGGTCTCACGGCTTCTCTGTCTTTTGCAGCCCGGTCTCATCAGAGCCCATCATCTGCCGGGAACCCAGTGACAGCCTTGGCCCCAGTGAGCTGGGGGCCAGCTCTCCCGGAATGGTCACCCCTCTTTCCCGACGGTGGATTTGTTTCCATCCCTTGACCCGGAGCTTCTCTGCCTATCCAGGCCCCTGAACTCCTTTGGGCAGGAGGGATGGCTGAGGAAGGGCCCCCCCCCTTGTCTCTGACCCACCCTCACTTCTGTGGACCCCACATCGCAGCCAACGGTAGGGTCTGAGCTATGAGGGCAACGAAGGAAGGCTGTGAAATGATTGTTATTTCAGAGATCTACTGTGTCTGCCTTCATCCGATAAACCTTTACTGAATGAATGGGTCAGGTCCTGGGGAAGTTCCGGGTCCCATCCTTGGCTGGGGTCCTATGGAGATGTTGGTCACATGAACAGAAAAGGGCCCCCAAGTGTGGGTGCCATGATAGTTATCTTTACTGGATGAATGGACACCCAGCAGGGAGGTCAGTTCCTACTAAAGATCATATTTAAAGAAAAGTATGGTCTGTGTAGGTGAAAAGGGTATTCCAGGAGGAGGGAACAACAGCATATGCAAAGATAAAAGCATAAAACAAGCAGATACTGCTGGACTTGGCGCCATGGAGAAGCTTCTAGGTGAGGCTGGAGGTGCTTTGGGGAGCTGATTGAGATAGGTTAAGGGGTCTCAACTGAGTCCTTTTGGTGCCTGAAGTGTTTCTTTTTGTTGTTGTTTGTTTGTGTTTGTTTTTTAAGATTTTTATTAGGGAATTGGGGGAATGGGAACAGACAAGTTGCTGTCGTTTTGTTTTTCAGTCTAGTTGTGGAGGACGTTGCTTCACTGGCCCAAGTTGGCACCATCATTGCGCTCTTCCCGGGCGAGGCAGATCAGTCGCCGGCTTCTGGACGGCCGTTCACGCTGGCTGCTGGCTACACACGGTAGCCCATGGCAACCCACCTGCCGTCACCGGAGACTCACGGCAGCCCAGCTCCAGGTTGAGCTGTTGTTCAGCATCTTAGCTGTAGAGGGCAGTGTCACTGGCCCTCATATGTGGGATCTGAACCGGGGCCCTCTGGCATCCCAAGCCAGCTCTTAACCATCACGCCACTCGGCCAGCCCCTGAAGTGTTTTTAAGCAAGGCAATGGAGCAGTTATATTTGTCTTTGGGTCAGATATAATGCCAGCAGTGAGTAGAGTTGATGGAGCCTGTGCTCAGGTAGCGAGAAAAGTGAGTTGGGGGATATATCCCAGACTTGTGAAGACATGGCTGCTGCACCTGGGTGAGTGAAGGTGGGGTAGCGTGAGCACATCTGTTTGCAGATAGATGAAGAAAGGAGATGGCGAAGACAGTTTGGAGTATTTTATGGCAATGGAGAAGGTGGGAAGTGATGCAGAGATGATGGATTATCTTTGATGCTTTCTTGTTAAAGATGGGACAGATTTGAGCTGGAGGTAAAAAAGTGTAATCGGTACTGTAATTTTAAATCTTGACAAGACCAAACATATCAATATTTTTCCATTCTGACTCGAGCTTGGGTCTTATTAAAGGTTTTCCCTGTGACAATTCATTATTTTTTTTTTTACTATTTTTACTTAGTAATATTAGAAAATATTTCAGATGCCTAGGAAAGTAAAAAAGAAAGAAACCTTTGTACTCATTATACAGATTGAGCAACTGTTAAAACTTTATTTGCTTCACATTTTCTAAAGAGCTGAAACCTCATACACACCGTTGGAGCCTTTTGCATCTTCCCTGTTCCATTTTCCTTCCCCTCACTCCGAGGTCACAACTCCTCATATTGCTATACATCCTTCCTTGATTTTATTTACCTACCAGATATGAATGTAGCCTTAAACAATACACGATTTGTGTCTTCATTACCTTTGCCTATATTTCTTTTGGATTGTCTTTTTCTTATTTTTAGTATTTTTTTCATATATTCCAGATACAAATCCATTTTGGCTTTATGCACATTGCAAAAACCTTGAATAGGATTTGATTATGCCTGGTGTTTCTTTGATGAGTGTATTTTTAAGTATGGATCCATTTCATTTCACGTTTAGTGTTTTATTCGGTTTTCTGTTGCTCTGTCGATTTTAGTAACTTATATTTTTCTAGAAAGTTGTCCAATTTAATTTCAGAGTGTGGCACTAAATTATTTGTAGTGGTCTAATAATTTTTTTTTAATTTCTACTGAAATTGTCCCTTTTCATGTCTAAAAATTATGGATATTTGCCTTCCCTTGTTTTCTGGATCAATCATGCCTGAAGTCAGTCTATATATTATTTTTAAATACAAGCCAATTAGTTTATTGGTTTTAATAAATCCATTCCAAGAATTGATTTTAGTTTTCTCTTTTTAATTTTTTATTGGGGCACAATTTCAGACTTAAAGAAAATCTCAATAATAGACTAGTACAAAGAATTCCTTTCATCTAAACTCCCCAAATATTAACATTTTACCACATTTTAATGGGGGTGGTAGTGGCTCAAGGGATATCAGGGCCAATTAAGGAAAACGATATAACCACAAGGTGGCAGGAGCACATACACGCTTTATTTAGAAATGCACATGGCAGGGGGCAAGCATGTCCCTGGAAGCATGAGACCATCCATGCAGAGGCTGGCACCCAGGGCCCACTTCCCAGAGGTAAGAGAATAAGGGAGCCCCAGGCATCCCTGGGTCAGAGCCTCTTGAGAGATGGCAAAGCAGGCAGGTTCTAAATGACTACAAATCTGCTTATATTTGGGCTGTGTTTAAAACCCTTGCATGTGCTGACATTTCAGTTTGGAGCTGCTAGTCTCTTGCGTGGTCTCAGCGAGCTGAGAAGAAATAAGCCACCTACGGGTCACTTACAGAGCCATCTTTGGCTCATTGACACAACAGATTGCTTTAACATTCTTTTCCTTCCCCCTCCATACATATATGTGTTTGTGTAAATCCTTCAATGTGCATTTCCCCAGGACAAGGACATTCTGTCACACCACAACAGTATAATGATTAAAATCAGGAAATTAGTGTTGATACAATACTGTTGTCTAACCCCCAGATCTTATTCAGATTTCACTGGTCCTCTCAATAATACCCTTTCCAGCTAAAGAAATCTCAGATCACGCATTGCTGTTCTTTTCACGTCTTTCGTCTTCACTTTGGAACAGTTCCACAGTTTTTCATTATCTTTAATAACACTGACATTTCGAAGAGTACAGGCCAGTTATTATAGAATGATCCTCCATTTAGGTTTGTCTCATGCTTCAACATGAGTAGGTTCGGGTAATACATTTGTGGCAGGATTTTTCTTTTAACCTACTCTGTTATTTCTTTGATTTCTTCTTTTTAAACCTCTGCTCATACTTGTTTCTTTTCTTTTACGTTTTCGAGGTTTACTCTTTTTTTCTGTGCTAGCCTTCTGAGTTGAATGTCATTAATTTTCAGTTTTTATTTAATGCATATCTGAGGACTTTAATTTTCCTTTGTGTGCTTGTAATTATCCACCAATTTGGATATGTAGTATTTTTGCAGTCGTTATAAATATTTCTACGTTGTTATTATTTTCTAGTTTTATTGCTTTTTGGTTTAGAGAGTGGCATCTATGCAATATTGATTTTTTAAAATACTTGCTGAGGTTTATTTTTTTAATTTATTTTTATTTTTTTGTCAATTTTTATACTTTTCCCAGATATGCCTAAAAAGAATGTATATTCTCTAGTTATGGAGTATATTCTTCTGTGTGATCCAATAGATCAAGCTTTTGTTATTCAAATGTGATACATCCTTGCTACTTTTTTTCATATCCGACATTTTCATTTCTAAAAATGTATACTGAAATCCTCTTACTGTGCTAGAGGATTTGCCAGTTTATCCTCCTGCATCAGTGTTTGCTTCATGTGTATGTGAGCTGTATCTGCATTGGGTACATTTATTGGTGGCGCAGACCTAAGGATCGGGCTGGCCCCCAGTCCTTGCTTTGTCTGTTTGGAATGAGTTCTTTCTTGCTTTTGGTTTCACTGTTTAACAAATGCCGGACACTGTGTAGGCAAGAGGAGTCTTCTGCTCGGCCGTCCCTGTGTGTGGAACTGAGAGGGCAGGAGGCTGACTGCAATGAGACTGCTCAGGAATTGAGCTGGGTGGGCATTTGTTGTTGCTATGGTTACCGCCAAGCCACCCTTCACATTTCTCTGGTACTGCTGTGCATAGAGTGGGCTGATTACTGTTGCCCCCTCCGTGGCCCACCTCTCCACCTTGACTCCTGCCGATGCTCGCGCTGGCTCTGCAGTGCTGGCTAGCCTGGTGGTGAAGGGGCAGGGTGCTCTTTCTATCTAGTCTCAGGCCTGGCGCTCTTTGGGGATGCTGCCCGTCTCCCTGTGGTAGGAGGCTCTAAAAGTGTGAGCCCAGAACGTATGCCTGCCCCTCTCCTTTTCCCTGCCAGATGCAGTAGGTCTTACCTGGGCTCTGTGAGCAACACGGTTTGCTGCCCTTCCCCCAGCAGCGTCAGGCTTTCGTTCCTCAGCAGAGAAATTTCTGGAAGGACGGGGCTTCATGTGTTTCCCACAGTGGCAGCCACTCCCCTCTTCC